GGCGAGCCTCTTGGAATATTCAAAAACTGTGAAACTATATAAGCCTTGAACTCACAGGATATGAACTATTTTTTCTGTTGCTTTTTTTGGGAAATGGGCGGGTGGTTTTCTCCCTGGCAGCGGACAAAAATGTCACACCAGGGCTCTCCAAAAATTATGGCACCTTAGGGAACTTATAAGTTAGTTACGACAAGACCCGTAAGTCAAGATAAGCTATACTTAAAAAAGTAATTTAGATCATACTTATATCTCCATAAGAGCCAAAACCGTTGTAGCACACGACTCCACCCGTCTCCAGACTCCAAAGGTGAACCTTCGGGAACCGACACAGCGCCATTCTGTTTGGTTTCAACGACTGGCCCGGCGGTAGACCCCAGGTTCCCCGAACTGGTCACCAGGTGGCCGATCGAACGGAGGGAACAAAGAGGCTACGAACGTAGCTCCTTGGCCTTACTACGAAGGGAGCAAGAGCGATGGCCTCCTGGCCCTACTCCGAGCACAGCCCTTTCGGCAGGCCAGATGTCCCGCCTGGCTCAGCGGTGTTGATGAAGCCTTTCTGGCACCCACAGTCCGCGCGCAGCGCAGATCCTGGGCGGAGAACCAGCTTGGTGGACGGAATTCTTGGCTGGGCATTGTCTTAAAGATCTTAAAGGTTGGACTCCCTAACGATAGCTTTACGACTACGACTTTACAGGTGAGACACCCAACCTGAAACACATGGTTCCAAGTTCTGGCACCAGCTTGAGATCCTTTATATACGCAAGTGGCTGGCTGGAACTGGGGAGTTCCATCCAGACTTGTTTCGGGACTGGGGGTTTCCAGGCGGATTCGATCACCAAGGCTCCCAAACCCAGGGTGGTTGTGGACGCTGGACAGCTCTTGCACTCTTCAGCACCTTGTTCCTCCTCGAGTGAGTGGATGCTGGACGTGGACGCACAGAACAGTTCTTTAATGCATTCAGCTTCAAACGCATTCTTTGTGCATGATGCAGAGACATATGCAAAGTTCAAGAAGGATGTAAAATGTTGATTTTAACTTTACAAACTGACGTGACCTAGTAAAGCACACGCGCACATGATCACACATGAATCTCACATTTTCTCCTGGTAGCTGGCGATATCACAGCGCTTGCAAGTTCGGCTCCCAATCTCATCCTGATACTCGCCTGCGAACAGGGCCAGCTCCATTGGTTTGATCAAGTGTCAGTCTTAGCCATAGTGGCCCAATCTATTGGAGTGACCTCCAACATAGATACATCCAAACATTTGGCGAAAGACTCACACAAATCTCCAATCAAAAAGTGGGACGCGTTACAGTGGGACGCTCCAACGAAAACCTTGATGCCCTGGATGGTCTTAACACTGTAGGTCCACACCCGCCATCCACCCTATCGCGACGCAGGTCTGGTCTGAACCAACCTGACCCGCTTTCGCCTGACTTGCATGGCTTGCAATAGGTAGCCGCGCCCATGTCTTGGCTAGTTCCCTTGGCACATGGGGCGCAAATGTAGGTCTCGCCAATGGAATCCGACAGAGCCTTTGAGAACGTGCCCGAAGCGCACGCCTGGTGCAGCGGAGTAAGTGCTGCTTCAGATCCAAAGTTGTGTATACTCTATCCCTTGTTCCAAGCATCCTTCCTTCGAGTGCTCAAACCAGCAACAGCCCCACCAAAGACACTGCCAAGTCCGGCTGACATGAACAAGACTCACGACATGAAGTGGTGCTCGGAAAGCTTTCAACAACGATTTTGGGGTGAAAACAACTACACTCCCTATAATCATGGAAGTCGATGTTCTGGCCCCTTGGAAAACGATTTTCCTCTAGGAAGAGGGGGGCATGAAAAATCCACTTCTTAGCACACCTTGATTCCTTCCGCATATCCCCAGACGCTGCGGGGCGCTCCTGGCCTTACTACTAGTAACAAGGATGCAAGTAGTATAAAGGACATCGCTACGAACGGAGCGATCGACCGCTTCCAACATTTCCATGCCTTGCACACGATCGGGTTCGAGGCATTCACTCGCTGCTCCGTGAAGTCCTCCAGCACGCTGTCGTAGAGGCCGAAGCCGGGGAAGCATTGGCTCTCGTCGGGGATCCAGGATTTCCACACCTCCTGGATTCTCACTCACTCGTCACTAGTAGGTTGGAGGCCATTGCTACTAGATTGGAAGCCACTCTCCAGCCGGTTCCTGGTTCTAACTGGGAGCCTTGCCCATTTGCCCCTGTGGCAGAATGGCCATGCACTCGACTCGCTTTTCGATCGAGCATTTCGCTTCGAGATGATGCACTCAACGGACCAACCACATGGTTTGGCTCAAGCTGAGCAGGTGGAAAAAGACCGCTTGCTCCGGACACATCTCATACCTCCTTACTTAGGTTATGAGCCCAAAGGCCTGCCACCCACAAGCGCTAGGTGAGCGGTGTGGTTGCTGGCCGCCATGGCAGCGCTCCAGCGAAGAAGACGGCAAGGCCCTCGCGAAAGAGCTGACCCAGCTGAGGCGCAGGAACCTCGACGTGCGCATCGAGAAGGACAACGGCGACAGCAGCCTGAAGAGACTGCTGATCAAAGGCTGGACCGGCTGATCCGAGAACAAAGGCAGTCGGCACGTGCTTCGTCACTACCTGCGGAATGATCTTGCAGTTCGGCGCCTGGCTACGCATGCTGCGGCTGAGGGTCATGAACCACAACGGGGAACAGGTGACGGGCAAGGGACACTTCAACCTGGACATCATGGCGGGCATCACGGTGCGGCGGCGGCCTCGGGTCAATGGCTTGCAAGAAGCTGCACGCCAGTCGGTCGAGTTGTTGCAACAGGCCCTTGGCCATCGCATGCCACCGTCTTCTACCCCTGGACTACTTGATCCTCTTCTTCGGAGTTTCTGAACCCCTTCATGGACCCGGCTCTGGACTTCCACACGTACCAGGTGGCGGACTCCTTGCAGGGCATGGTTCTTTGGGTGGTACTCCACAACATCCTGGAGCTCCACATGGTGATCCACGACTGGGCACGCCTGCGAGCACAAGGCAGGTAGAGCGGGAAGCGGTGAAACCAGGGTGCTCGAACCATATCGCACACCCCAAGGCCCTCTGGCCACGGTGAACCCTTCCTGGAGTACTTCAGTTCAACAAGCTGCACGTGGTGAAGGTCATGTGAGAATGGCGGAAAGTGCAGGAGCGAAGGCACCTGCGGGAAGTCCTGGACCTGGTGATGTTGAGAAGCTTCGCGCCCAGATCCTCAAGGAGGCGGGAGAGAAGTTTGCTCGCGAGGTCAAGCGCATCACTGATGGAGCAGGTGGTGGGGATGCATCGTCGTATGTTTGAGTTGCTAGTGGTGGAGTCGATGGCCGTGGACCTTCCACCCATCCTGGACTATGTCCTGGTCATCCTTCCGGAGCAGGCGCACCTCCCGGGTCAAGACCTGATCTACCTCCAGGCCTTCATGGCGGACGACCTCATGGGGATGGACCAGCGGCTCCTGTGATTCCAGAGGCAGTCAGAGCTTTGGAGCTTACGGCTGAAGGAGCAGCACTACCATTCGGGGATAGGCCACAGTCATCCATTGATGGCGGATTTGTCCTCTACCTCACAGTTTTGGTGGGATGGATGTCTTTCTGCCGCTCGTGAACTATATAACATTGGCTGGTGGCCACACCTTTGGAGAGGTTGCGCCTGCGCCCAAAAGACGCCACTGTGGGGGGAGTGTCGCTTTTGCTGCAGGCATCCTTCCTGACCAGTTGAGACGTGACGTCATGTCATCAAGGCATGTGACAACTGTGTGCATTTTGTTCAAGCTCTTTGTGGTCTTCCAGGCAGTGGCGCCGTTGGTTGCAGCGAGCTGAGGAATTGAATGTGACTTTGCCTGACCCGCTCATCCTCATGAACGTCCTGGGAAAGATCATGGGCTCCTTGGCCAAGCTGGGCGGAAGTCAGGTAGCGTACCGACCGAGTTTCCACGGTGCGCGAGGAATTTTTGGTGGATGAATGTGCGGAATGAACTCCACCAAGGACCTGAGTGAGTACCCGCAGGCGGAACTGGAAGAACTCGCCCTGGTCATTGCGATCCCGAAGGGTGCCGCCAACTTGACTACCTCGACCACAGCTTCAGAAGGCTCCAGTTGCGAAGGCAATGCAGTCCGGCGCTCCAGATGAGAAACCTCGGTCTCCATGCAAGTTTTGGGGGACCCAAAATGGATGTCGAAGAGGCGACACCTGCAATGAGCGCCCCCCCGTAGTTTAACCCTAGATATAAATAGGGTTAACATATGTTACAACTTGTTTTAACATATGTTATAACATTGTACACATGATGTAACTGAAGTCAAAAATATATTATTTGTAAGTTGGTTATTGTATTTGTTGGCCCTATAACTAAGTCATATGTGTGGTTATTTGTTTAAAGGAAACACTTATATTTGAGTTACCGAAGTTAGCAATTTGGAATGGTTAGCAATTTGAAATATAATTTGTTATTGTTTTTTGAGACCTCCGTTAAAAATATGTTTTTCTACTTTGGGTAGTGGTTTTCTCAGGTTGGCAAAGACGATCCCTCTTCGCAAGACACGGAAGGAGCTGACAGGGCAGCCTATCAACACCATGGGCATGCGTCCAGGAGCTGTACAATTGTTGCAAGTGCTGTGCATGGGTATGGGAGCATCTTTGAACTTGCATCAAAACCAATCCGCACGTGATCCATGGAACATCACAATGATGCAGCCGAAAGAACGAGGTTTGAAAAGCTTGCTTGACAGGGCACACTCTTCGGACTCTTTGCCTCCACCAGCTAATGGTAGTGAAGGCCCGCAGGCTTTGCAAGACTTGCCCGGATCTGCTTCTGCGCCGCCCAAGCTGCCTGCGGTTCCAGAGGTTCAGCCTGAGGTTGGCCCAAAAGAGATACCATCCTTGCCTGCGCCACAGGCAACTTCGGAGAAGCAGGAGCAAGATCCTTTGGCTGGAGCACAGCCTGCAGTTCTAGAGAACGATGCAGTGACGAATCATGAGCAGCCCATCACTTTGAGGGAATCAATGGAGAAGTTGAAGCAAGCCCGATTGACAACCAAGGGGGCAGGGACAGCGCGCGATCGAAACACAAAGCGACCTTTGAAGAGGCCAGCGTCAGCTATGTAGCCGGTGGTGAAGCCAACAACAGTGGCCACACCCCAATCCAAGGGTCCTGTGAGTATGAAGCGGCCAGCCTCAGCTAGCTCAGTTCGATCCAAGGAGATTTGCCAGAAGCACCCAAAGAGGAGTTGAAAAAGGCCTTGCTGGCCAAGATTCCAGGCTCGGCCAAGAATGTCTACCGCAAAGGATGCTCCAAGTGTCGGTATGTGGAGTACTGCACACTTTCTTGTTGGGCTATGAGGGGATGGCGCATTTATAGGGGTTTTGTGTTGTAAATTCTTTTGCAGCACGGCTTGGAGCATCTTTGTTGTGTAACAACGTTTGCAACGGTGCTCCAATAGTGTTTTGATCACTATGGTCACTTTGGGAAGATCTTTGGAGATCAGCTGCTTGGTAAGAAAGTATGGCTGCCTGCCAGCATGCAATCCGCACAGCTCCTCACTGAAGCCTAAATGGTATTGTGCACCTGCATGCATTCTGCAATGTTTGTGTCAACATTTTGCAATGGTGTTTTGTGAGCGTTCATGGGATTGGCAATGCTCCTCAATGGTGGTCCGGGAGGAGTAAGACACTTGTTGAACTTGAATTTTTCCTTTCAAGCTCACTCATGCTCAAGGAGTGCTCTAGTTGGTGGGCTCATGCACTCACAAAGGTTTTGGGAGGGTCTCACGTTTGTTGTATGAAGCTCTTTTCAAATTTCATGCCAGTGTGACCCAGTATGATTAGGCATACGTGAGCTTGATGCCAAAGAAACATTGCCTCATCATTTAAGGGAATATACATATACAGTGCTTTTTTGCAAATACATGTTTCAGGTTCATTTCACTTTTGACTTTTGTTACCCTCAGTGTGTGCAGACTTATTGATCAAATGAAGTTCTGACCCAGGATCTTTTTGAGCTGCAGCGCTTTCCATGGTTCCTACCACAAGTTCAGCTTTGCGAGGGACGAAGTCTACGATGGCATCCACTACAAGATTTTCATTGGTTCGTCCAACCTCGCAGCAATTGTCGAAGTGGGGGACAACAAGAACCTCATGACGCGTGTTCTGATATTTCACCAGAAGAGCGACCACGAAGCTGAGGTCAAGAGCCTCGCCGGCGAGTCGTTGGGAGTTTTGGATTTCAAGGACATCAAGGTTTTTGACCTGGTGAAGGCTGCTGTCATGCTGAATGACTAGGAGTTGCCTGCGGAGCAACGCAACCATCGACTTCGTGCTATTGTTGGTGTCAATACCGTGAGCATCGAGCAATGGAACGGCAATGCAGGGACCTTGTTTGGAATGTGTGACATCAGCTCTGAGGATGAGATCGGGATCAATGAGATGACAAAACCTTGCAACAAGACCAATGGTGGCAAGAACAAAAATACCGAGCTGAAAAAAACCAAGTCGAATGCAAGCAAGCAGGCTGCTAAGAAGAAACCAGCAGCTGCACCCAATGCGCCGAAGCATAAACCCAAGACCAACGCGCTGAGAAAGAGGCCAGCGTCCAAGCCCTGAGGGAGTTGCCGCACTAGTCACGGTCAGGTCACCGTAGGTTTCTGTGCCCAGGCAACTGCTTGGGACGACCATTTTGACAGCCGTGTGGGTGTGTGGAAAATATGTGTTCCAAGAGTTCATTAATTGGTTCACAAACTGATTATTGTTTGGAATTCGAAGTTGAGTAAGTCACATCATTTGTGCTTGTGCGGTGGTCCGTCTTAGCAAAGTTCAGGCACATTGTGTGTGTGTGTCTGTGTGTTTCTGTAGTTGCTGTTGGGATGGCATTCATGACCATCATAGAACACAAAAACAATCACCGTTCATACACATATAACGCACTGTGTCAGTATGGTGTCAGGATGTATCTGGATGTGTCTGTAAAGCTGTGCCTGTATAGCTGTGACGCGCTTCAATATGTGTTTATCGTGGTGTATGATTGTTTTACTTGGCAGCCAGCTCCTTTTAAAGAAAGACGAGAAGCACGATCGTTAGCGCCACTCCGAAGAACAAGT